CAAACACTAATACTCAGACACATGCTGAGGGACACTGGCAGGAACACAAGCTAATTAAAAATTTACAAAGTCTCTCCTTCAGTCTCAGCTGCACAGCCCCAAATTCTCAAACTGCCTTCTGTCTCTGCTGCTGCCTTTCACTGTCTCTCTTCCTCTCTCTCTGTGTCTGTCTCTCTGCCTCTCTCTCTCTTTCTATCTCTCTCTCTGTGTATCTGTCTGTCTCTCTGCTGTCTCCCTCTCTCTATCTCCCTCTCTGTGTATCTGTCTGTCTCTCTGCCTGTCTCCCTCTCTCTATCTCTCTTTCTGTGTATCTGTCTCTCTGCCTGTCTCCCTCTCTCTCTGTCTCTCTCTGCCTGTCTCCCCCTCTCTCTCTGTGTGTCTGTCTATCTCTCTGCCTGTCTCCTTCTCTCTCTGTGTCTGTCTGTCTCTCTGCCTGTCTCCCTCTCTCACTCTCGGTGTTTGTCTGTCTCTCTGCCTGTCTCCCTCCCTCTCTGTGTCTGTCTGTCTCTGTGTCTGTCTGTGAATCTCTCTCTCTCTACATGTATCTAAGCCTGTCTCTCTCTCTCTGTCTCTCTGTCTCTCCATTTGTACCTCTGTGTATTTACCCCTCTCTCTCTGTGTATTAACCCCAGTCTCACTCTGTGTATTAACCTCTCTCCGTGTATTAACCCCCCTCTCTATATATTAACCCCTCTCTCTCTGTGTATTAACCCTGTCTCTGTGTATTAACCCCTCTCTCTCTGTGTATTAACCCCCTCTCTATATTAACCCCCCGTCTGTGTATTAACCCCTCTCGCTCTCTGTATATTTTAACCCCTCTCTCTGTGTATTAACCCCAGTCTCTCTCTGTGTATTAACCCCCCTGTCTCTCTGTGTATTAACCCCAGTCTCTCTGTGTATTAACCTCCCTGTCTCTCTGTGTATTAACCCCAGTCTCTCTCTGTGTATTAACCTCTCTCTCTCTCTGTGTATTAACCCCAGTCTCTCTCCGTGTATTAACCCCTCTATCTCTCTGAGTATTAACCCCTCTCTCTCTGTCTGTATTAACCCCCCTGTCTCTCTGTGTATTAACCCCAGTCTCTCTCTGTGTA